AAATGATCTACTGTGTTCAGTGCAGGCTTAACCCTATCAATGAGTGAGCTAATCACATTCTAGAGATGGATTTACTTTTCCACTACCAGTAGTCTTTGACATGAAACAGCTAACAACAGGTACCTCAGGGAAACTGAGAAAATCTAAAAAGTTTCAAGAAATATTAATGTAAAGCTTATGCTTGAAGTATACATACAATCATTTCTATACATAGAAATTATTAGATATATCCTCCTAACAAATGTTTTACATCAAAAACACATAAGTTTTTAATCTCTGTATTTACTCATTTGTAGCCTGAAACTAAACACAAGGTTTCTGGAGTTCTGGAGCAGAGATCAGAGTTATTATTATTTAAATCAAGAAATGCACCAGTTTCCCACACCTCATACTCCATCCATACACGAAGCAATGAGAACCAGTTGATTAGGCTTGAACATTACAGGGTTTCAATCACAGGAGAATCCCAAAATTTTGAATCTGGAAGTTTGTACAGAGTAACTGCCCAGCTGCCACCTTCCTCTGAGAAAGGGAGAGAAAGCTAATCTACCTAAGGTAAGCAAATTCTCCTGGGGGGAAAAAAAGAGGGAAGTCCTTGGGTTCTTATCCTTTGGAATGTAAATAAATGTCTCTAGGGGAAGAGAAGCATCACTGGGTTTATAATCCTCAGAATGTCTCCAAGACTGGGTTTCACAACCCTTTAAAATATTGACACAGCTCCAGGAAGTTCTCTCTCTATTCAGACATCTTTTAACTTGCAAGAGTTGTTCTTTAACCCAGGTTCTATTACAGTTTTCTTTGCTTAGAAAGCCCTGATCATGCAGAAACATGAAAATATTTACTTCCTAATAATGCATAGTAAAACTAATCAAAGTATTTCTATTTGTAGCACTGGCTAATAACTGACACCTACCTAAATAGTGACTTTCAAACGCTTTCTGCAGAGCCTTGGGAATTCCTTAGAGGTGCCCCAGAAGCCTCTGGGGGAAAGGGGTAAAGTAGGGGTACAGAGTGAGTATGGTCTGGGACTCCAATTCATTCTCCAAACACAGCCCTTCTGCTCTTATATACTTTGGGCTTCTGTGTGTGATTTTTGAAGACAAGACTCTACAAAACATCCACAAAATTTGAAATCCACTGAAGAAAGAAACACCAAAAAATCTTAGGTAACCTAAATAAATGAAAATTCTCAGCCTTATAGAAACTGTGAACAAATGTGAACATGAAGGAGTCAGTCCTTCAAAATGGATCCTGAGTGGCCTAAATATAAAATAGAACCAAGGGCCATTTGCTGACTAGAGGTCACACATGTACTGTGAGTGTCCCCAAAACGCATTTCTTTTTTACTTTGAGACGTTCAGAGCTTACCTGAACCAATCAGAGCCTATCTGCCTCAGCCAATCAGGGCTCAGCTGTATGGACCAATCAAACTCAACCGCATCAACAAATCAGAACTACACAAGTTCTAATCCTTCATTTACATAAACAGACTGGATTGACTTGGGTGGGAACTTTTGCTGTAAAATCCGATCCCTCCCTTTGTTCTCTGGAACACCCCTTCATCTCCCTGGTCTACAAACTGTTCAATAGAATAAAGTCTTCTTCCTCGAAATTCCTTTTCAGAGAACTTTTGTTCACAAAACAGACAAGGTCCCATTTATATTTATACTTAAATTTCCTTGTCTTGGTACCCTTACTTGCATTAATATAGAGCTTCTAAAACACATGCCACCAAAAAATTAACCAATTATTCCAGGGGCTCCTCAAGAGACCCATGGGTGCTCAGAATGTTTCTTGATGTTCTGTGATGTCCTCTGTATGCAATGCCATTGAAGACAGCCCTTGGCCACTGATAGCATCTTTCATGAAGGTATTGCCTTATCCAGGATCCTGTCTTCTAATGCTGGTCCTCCCTAAACAGGGCTGCAATTCTCTTTTTATGGGAACTATACCTATACTGCTCATGAAAATAAGATGTGCCCTTTGCCCTTAATTCATAGGACAGCCACCATACACTCACATCCATCATCCCACTTCTTTACTTTTCTACCTCCATGTAACCCAACATAAAATTTCCTCCCTTTCCCCTGATCTCTCTTCCCCTGAACTCACAATCATACAAATAAATTCCATATAAGTAGATGTTTGGGGACCTCAGAGCCACTAGTTCAGATAGCGAGACTGCAATTCCCAGGCTTAAGCCTAGGAAGACCCTACATACATTTATAAAAATGCAATATTTAAGGTTATATCTACTAATCTCTAAATCTAAAATCTAAGCTACACAGTACCACTTTTAAAAGTTTACAAGCCTATTGATGTTTTCTAAAGGATGGGCTGATTGTCAATTCATATTTCTTAAGAAAAAAATGCCAGAGATTCAGGAAGACTGAGTTCTGGCTCCCTTTGCTTATTATGTGAATTTAAGCAAGTAACTTAACTTCTCTTGACCAATTTCTCATCTATAAAAAGGAAAGTAGCCTAGTCTCTAAAGTGATCCAAGTGGAATCTGGAGTTTTCATATAATTATTAAGAATTCTCTCTCCATCAATCTTCATCTATACTTGTAAATGTGATGAGAAGCACACAGTCAGGCATAATTCACCTGTCAAAAATTTTCCACTGTAGGCCGGGCGCGGTGGCTCACGCCTGTAATCCTAGCACTCTGGGAGGCCGAGGCGGGCGGATTGTT